TTGCATTTGCGGTTGGCCAAAAATGTTTATAGTCCTCGCACTAAATTGCCTTTGTTATTGCGTGTGACTCCCCCTCCCCCGCCCCCACTGCTGCTGTTGGGGGCGTGGGCATTGCTGCTGCAGCAAGTTTTAGTTTTTAATGTGCTCGCTAAGTGAGTACTTAAAATGCCGTTAGACGTCGTCTTTGGTATGTGCTAATGTACTCGAGTGTCAGCCACAGAAATTGACTTGGTCTAGATAAATTTTAAGAAATGCGGATTTGCCAATTGGATAGATAACTTATTGAAACATCAGAAAATATATAAACTCTAGGCTGGGATTGTGTCTGGGATACAGCAGAAGAGAAGTGGAGCAGGAATTCTATTTGCGAAATTCACAAATATGTTGTCAACTTGAGAGAAAGAAATAGAAATTTAATAGAAATGTTGCCAATTGGCTTTTTGCTTTTAATTTAGCCCGGAATGACACAGCAAACGTATTGACATAATCCAGGCCATTGAAGTGGCCTTTGACACTCAGACAGTTGCCAAATGTCGCTGACTTATCTTGCCACACGACTGCTTAATATATACACATACATACACATATGTGTACATGTGCTGATGATATTTACAAAAAGTCGCTGTCAACTTTCGGTTGGCCCTGCAGCTGTACAGGACTTTAATTTGTTAAAAATCCCCAGCACATGAAGGGCATCACGTTGGCAACGTCAAAGCCAAAGCTAAAGCCAGAGCCAGAGCCAGAGCCAAGGAATTTTAAATATTTGTACATACAGATACACCCGCCCACACACACACACACACACACACAGAGCCCACTCAGAAACACATGGAGTTATCAATTGTACAAAGGAAATCATTCAGGCACACAATAAGCAAAAACACACCGTCATTGTCCTGACACTTTCCTGACTGTATGTCATATTGTTCGTATCTCTGTGTGTGTGTGAATGTTTGTCCCGCTGTATATATACAAATGTCAAGCGTGGGAGAAGCCTTTAAATTGGCCCACACATACACACACACACAGAGACAGATAACAAGTTTGTTACGTGTCTGCCCCATTCAATGGCTCGCACTAAAGCTTTGCCTCTGACTCCAGCTCTGACTTTTGTTGCGTATTCAGTTCGATATAATTCAATTTGCAACATATATATGTCCAAGAAAAAGAGCATATTGATCAATAACATACATAGCATACTTATGTGCATATCATGCTTGCGGTTTGTCTGTCACACAAATACATACAAACAAATATCTTTTCAAATCAATAAACAACAACGAAAAAAAAAACACAAAAACAACCAAACAAGCTTGTCAAATCGTGCTGGAAGCTGTCAAACGCTAATGCCACACAGATGTCGCCATGGCGCATCTTGTGTTATACCATTTTTTACACACTCACACACACACACACACACATTACACAGTCATAATTAATGCGAGTTTAAATAGTCACTGCGCACTCTGTGCTACCCTTGCCCCGTGTCCATTCGTTTAGTCAATCAACGCGCAAATTGCCACAGCTCGGCTCCTGGCAGCAGTTCCCATTATGCGCCCTGCAATACGCACGTTGCGCATACGCCGCGTATGCCAACAAGTTGGGCCCAACGCCAGAGTTGTGTCGAGCAAAAAGCGCCTCTGGCCGTTTGCATAGGTGTGTTTGACTTTGCATATCTAATGGTTAGCTGCCAGTCCCTGGCACACATACACGTGCACCTATACACACACACACACACATGCGAATGTGCAAGTGCATAGCTGCGGCTTTTGAGTGTCGTCCCACGTCTGCTCTGCCCGTACTTGGCCTTGTCATGGCTCGCGGTTCCACATCAAAGTGCCCAACCAAGTTGGCTGCTTGCTGAGGCGCAAGCTTAGCAAACTTTATGAAAGGCTGCCAAAGTGTGTGTATGTCTGTGTGTCTGGTGTGCATTATAGTCTCTTAAAGTCCTTATAAAACGAGTTGGAGGTCATTGTAGTTAAGTAACACGTTAGTTGAGCACTACATTTATATTTTTCGAAGGTAAATTCACTTCCGTTTCCCAAGTACTTTACTCTTTTCATCGCTTGACGCTTTACAATTCTCAACGAGTTAAAGCTACGAAAACGTGGCAAGGCATTTGCCTGCCTGTAGTTGATGCAAATTTTCCTAAAGCGAATCAAATTTTAATTGTTGTACTTGGGTGCAATTATGTGTACCAAAATATAACATTTATTATAATGTTAGGAAGGAGGAGAAGGGAAAGTATAGACTTAGGTCTGCAAGCTAGGGTTCCCTTGGATTTTTTTAAGCTTTTCGATTATTTTAATAGAAAGAAAAGAAAATAATGAATGTTATCCACATAGAAAGTAAACTTTGGTGTTCCTCACTAAGCTATTTTATCTGCTTAACGCGTTACAATTCTCAACAAGTTAAGGATTAGAAAAAAGGGCAAGGTAACATATTGCAAGCCTGTAAAGCTAAAAACTCTGCTGATACTAAAATATGGATTTCCTTTAACTTATCTATGAAAACATACAGTTTGTGAACACGCTAACAGAAATTACCTCATCAAAATTGAGTTTCCAAAAAACCTTTCTTTTATTTAAGTTTGAATAACCTCATTTCTATACAATTTCGTTATATTCCTTATATTCAACTGCCTATTTATGTTAAAGTTCGACGACATAGTTTGTTTTTATAAGATCCCAATCTGGTTGTTTACTTAATTGTGTACGGCTATTAATAAAACAACAAATGTCATGGGTTGACTGTCCAGCCGTCCTGCTGTCCAGCTGGCTGTGCCGCTGCTGGCCTCAAAGTGCTCGACAATTTAATGCCGCACGCTCGTGAAGCAGGACGCAATGCGGCGACGGCGGTCATCTATCTATGCTGCGACAGCGTATTCAATTATATATTGAAACACGAGGCTAATAAATTACACGAATACAGAGCTTGGTGTGGAATTGTTTCAGCCATGCACATAAATATGACCCGAATTGGACGGAAATCGTGTAAATCTACAAATTACCTTAATATTTAATAAACAATGGACTGGGTCACAACACGGAACACGAAAACCTTTAACGAGCCCTAATCGAGCTCCCAAGATTTATACGCGTCCTTTTCACAGAGAGCGGCCGAACGCATCACGCAGGTGCTCCGGCCTGGGCTGGAGGGGAGAACCCCTTTTGGACACATCATAATTCATTCCGTGCTGAGCCAGAACAATGGAGGCCTAAATGTAATTTCCTTGGCTGGCCCATTGTCTGGCGTTGCCGCTGACTCACTGTCAATAAAATCAAATTTATTTCAGTTACGGATTTTCGGTCATTACTCGAGCGTCTAAATGGATTCCTTGCGGACAGGCAAATGGCATGGAGAGCCGTGAGCTTTGATATTGAGGCGCAACGACAAGGCAGCTTTAATTCAGTCAGCCAGGAAATTGAAATCGAAAATGCAAATTCATCGACGCGTAAATTATTTGTTTTGGTTTTGGGATTTATCTTCATGCGGCATTATGTATCTTCATTTTTAATTTTAGATAGGCGCTCAACTGTGAGAGATGTTAACAGAAGTAATTTAGAAATATTCCTGTTAATATACTCATGCTAAGCTCGACTTTATTGGCGTCTAGTTCAACAACTTGCTTATCTTTCCACTCAATTGCATTTTTTAAGCCTCAACGAACTCCATTGAAACCATATTTGGATGCTACTTACTTCCAGCCAAATCCGCTTTGCTAACATCGTTGATTTTGCTGATATTTCATAATAATGTGCTTTCCTTGATGTTCGAGCACAACAATAAAACTGCACTCACAATGGCCCAACTTTAATACAATATATTGGAAAAGTTCAAAGTATGCAAAGTCAGAAACAGAGTCCATGCCAGCAGCAACCTTGTCATGAACATTGCATTAACAGTTTCTGGGACTGGCCAACAACAACAACACGAATAGCACATATGCAGGAGAGAGCGTTCAATTATGCGATACCCTGTAATAAGTTTCTCTGTCACTGTGAATGATTGCACATATGTATGTATGTAGAAGACAAATGCCGCTGGCAAACTGAAACATGTTCACTCTTATACGTAGTTTTTATTCAGATGTTCGATCGCGATAAGAAATAGGAGAGACATGTTGTTTGTATATGTGTAAGCGAGACAAGTAGTATTCGCGCTTGTCGAGCTCTTTCTGTAAGAATAAGAGCAAAAAAGGAATGGGAAAAAACTGCTGAACAATTGGCCTTGAATATGTGTGTTGCATACATATGTACATATATGCATGTATGTATGTACTTGCATTTATTCTACTACAAAGACAGTTTATACAGCGCAATCTTTCGATAGCACTTACTTCAATAATTGTTTGAAATGGCTATCAGCACCATCTTTTTATGGTATTTTAAATTAATCTTAATTTTTTTTTAATGCAAACATTTCCACATAATTATTTGATTTACATAAGTATAGGGTATGTCTACGGCATGTCTTTCGAAAGTAGGTGGCATCTATAAAATGCCCTAAAGGAGCTCTTGAGGCATTGCATTGAATGTTATTTGATACAGTTAGTTTACTTGCAAGGCGACTGCTTGTCTAGTCCATCAGCTCGTCCATCAAGCCAGCAGTCAGGCAGTCAGTCAGTCAGTCAGTCAGTCAAGCATTCCCTCGAGCGTGTATTTCCTTCCTTCTGCGCTGCAGCGCAGAATTTCCGTTTCAATGCACTCTGATTGAAAGTCTTACGTACTTATGTGGCCCTTGTCGGCGTGTGTCACACTGAAGGACCCTAGCACCACACCCCATGCCCCCCAAGCCCTACCCCCACCCACGTGGCTTCTCGACCATGTCGCTTGCAATTTTAATGTGCATTGACGTAGATGCAAGCGTTGATAATGCCGAACGGCCCCATTTCGATAAGGCGCCAATTCAAATAAACTGAATAAAACGAAGGCAAGCATAATTGGCGCACGCCGAATACGAAATACTCTTTTAATTAAACCTAAATTCGCAATGTTGCGAGTTTGAGTATAATTAGAGAGAGTGTCTATGTTCAAAAGTTTTGTTAATTTGAAAAAGCTTTGAATAAATAGAATTTAATTATGTTGGCAAACGTAAAGACAATGTCGCATTGTCTGATTCCGCTTGGAGAGGGCATAAACTGTGTCATTTTCAAACCCCATCGTAACGGTATCCACACTCGCATCAGTCAAAGTCGCCATTGTTGCATGTCCTGACAATGCAGACTGCCGTCCACGGCCTCTTCAGTGAGACAATGCGACAATGCGACAATGCGTTCTCCTTTGGCCTTTGTTAACTGCACCCTCGACAACTTTATTCTGTTATCCTGTTCTGGTGTCCTGCTGGCCGTTAAGTGTCTAATTAAATAGAGCTTTCGAGGCGTTCTTATTTCCTAATCGCACTAACCAACCGAAATCTTAGTTCTGCAGTTTTCATGTGGCGAGCAAATTGCTTTTAGTTTAATTGGATTCGAATTATCGTTCCCATTTGTCAGGGTCACGCACCTACATAAATACACCTGGTTGGGGTGTTGCTATGGTGCTGGGTTTTGGGCTTCTCATGCTGCCCCTGGATGAAATATGCGGCAACTATTTTCCAGTTCTGTGGCCACGTTCTAGGAAATTTTTCTTGATTTTTCCTTTTCCCATTTATTTGCTTTACGGCATGTTTGCGTTCATAACTGCAAATCCGTTTTTATTCCTCGCTCTCAAAATGTGCAGGCTCCTTGGGGCGGGCGATAGAACCAAATGTAGAGCGAATTCCTTGCACATATTTGGCGTATTTTTTATGCCCCCAATCAAAATAAGCAAATGGGTGCCCTTCAGCTCTTACAAATTCTCGTTGTAGCTGCAATTCAAAACGAAGAGTTGTGTCATAAATAAACAAATAAAATCACACATTTCGTCGTTACTAGAGACTTTAAAAAATGCTTAAGTTCGGAATTGAATGTTTATATATTTTCAATCAAAAATATATTCTCAATAACTATAAACGAAAAATTTGAGATTGATTTCCATCTAAACTTTGATAAAACACAACTTAATATAATATATAACTTCATCTATGCTTTATGCTTTGGAACGTAATATTTTCCCTAAAATAAAATAAAATATGTATATATATAATAATAAAATATGGCATAATTATACAGGATATCTTCAAGTACGTACACGTTGTATAGCCTTCCTACATATTTGTTGATATTTTCGCCTTTATCTACCCAGTCCAACTCGGTGACTGAGGCCACAAATTTGGCGGATGCTGCTATCCATAAACTTGAACGCTGAGCCCGGGCAACTCGGCACAGTGTAAGCTAGTTTGTTTATTATTTTGTGTGTCAGTTTGACTTTTGTAACTAAAAATTCGTATGGCAACAAACGGCAAGAAGAGCTCAACAACTCATAAAAATACAAACAGGAACTATGAAGTGCCGGGCTGCAGGGGAAGATCACACACAGGACTGGCAGGATGGTTATGGTTATGGTCCCACTTAGACACTGATTTATGGCACGGATTGGGAAAGAGGATTTCGGAATCAGACAAAACAGTTTAATTGGACGGCATTTGGTGGACTTTTGTGGAATTTGTTGTTAAGTGCTTGACAAAATACTCCCAAGATAGAAAAGTCCCATGCTCCATAAGTTTATGACGCTATTAAATTAATTGAAAAAATTGCTTGGAAGTAGCAAATATGAAGAAATCTCAAGGCCAGTATAATAAGTCAAAGGAAATATATTAACTCTTTAATATGCCTGCTCTCCTAAATAAGATAAAGCTTTAAAACTGGACATAAAACTAAACTTACAACTGTAAGATTGTGATTAAGTAATAAAGTTAAGCGATATGAATAATTAGGATGAGAAATTCTTCAATATTTCAAAAGGAATACTCAAAAGGTTAGCTTTAAACATCTTCGGGCCAGCTTAAATTTGATTTATTCCATTTTGGTGCTTGTATAATCTGGGATTTATTTACGGCAGAGCCTTCGCTCATAAACTTTAAGACCATCAAGACACGCAAATGCTTCAAACTGCTGTGCATACAAATTTGTTGTTTTTTGTTTGTTTCTTCGTTTTTGCATTTAAATTTGAAACACAGCTGCAAGCTGCAATTTCTCATTATACGGCAAACAGACCTGGACGCAAATGGCCCACGGGGCGCTGCTCAAAAAATGTTACTGTGTAAACCAGATGCTGAGGAAAAACGGCAGGAGCCCAGGAATAGCTCAGGGGCTTTAATTGATTTTAATATTTAATTGCGCAAACATGCAATGCAAATAAAATGGAGACTGCAATTTTACACATGAAATCAATTTTGTACCATTTTCAATGCAACTCAAAACTCTAGAGCATCGAGCAGACGCACGGCAGGCAATCAGAAAGTGCAATTAGCTGTGACTTAAATCGGCTCATAAATAATTAATTTTATCTTATATATCAAACATTTGCAAGCAAATAATCCCAAAGTACGCAAAGCAGAACCACTTTAGGCATATTCGTAAATATTAAAGCTTAGCTCGGTGATTAATCTGGCCAAAAAGTTGCTCATTGGAAGTAAAAAAAGCGGAGCTTTTTAGTAGCTTCAGAGTTAAATTCCCACTTAACTAAAAACTGCAATAAAGAATAAAAATTCCCAAAACAATTTTAAATAGCACATGTTTTAAAAGCACAAACACTTTTTCTGCTAGTATAAAATATAAAACTTTGTCCTGCTCTATAAAATTTGGCTTACCAATCTTTAATTAATTTTATTTTTAATATGGCTTTAAGGTTTTTGTTGCCTTTGTGCCATTCGTGTGTTTTTTTTTGTTTTAAAACGCACAATTATTAACTTTACATATCTATAAAAATAATAAAAATATGTATTTTACTTTTTATTATTACTTTCAATTGAACAAATTCCTTTCTTGATTAACAAATCTGATACAAATTTAGCAGTTACCATAGAAAAACAATACTTAGAATCAGCTTCGTTCCTTTGTTTTTGAACTGTTTTTAAAATAAGTAGCACAGGATACCATACCATGAAATATACATATATAGGTATATTCTGGATCAGTCTTAATACAATCCCAATCAAACTCATCCTATTCTGGATGACTCTTAAAACAATCCCAATGAAACTCATCCCAAGTTTGCCAATTTGTGTCAGGAGCACTATGCTGCCAATTAATACATATGTGAAATCCCACAGCTTATGGTACTCTAGAAATGATCCCAATGTGATAAAGTTGACAATAAAATTAAGTTAAAAATTGAATTTGAAAATTGTGTGCTCCGCGTATTTTCAAATATTTGTACAAAATATAGTTGGCGACGAGAAAGAGTTGGCAAACATTTTGAGTGACACACAAATTTGTTAGTCGCCTCTGCGCTCTGGAGTTGAGCTGGCCAACTCGCAGAGTGTTGACATTGACTAACAGCAGCGGCAACGCCCACACAAGTGTACATATACACATATACATTATAAACACAAATACACACAAATATACAAATAAGTGTGAGATTAGTTTGCACTGTGCACAGCTCGCAATCAAAAAGCTGCAAATTTTAGTGCCCGCCTCTCTATGTTGCCCACTTTGTGGCGTTCCGCGGAAATTAGTTGACGGCGCCGTCAAGCGTTTCCGCATTTGCGCATTTTTTAGTCGTCAAAATATAATGCCCTGCCCCTGCCCCTGCCCCTGTATCCCTCTTCAATACCCGTTGGTGATGATAATGCGCTGCCGCTTGACGCCCGCCTAGTGAGTCGTTTGGTTTTATTGTCATACCCTGCTGCTTATATCAGAAGAGGGTATCTTCGTTTGCCTCAGCAACTAGGCAAAGAACTTACTTACTTACTTATAAGCAGAAAGAAGCATCTCCGACCTATTAAAGCATATAAATATATTCTTAGTGAGCATCAATAGCCGAGTCGATCTATCCATTTTCGTTTGCCTGTCCTTCCGCCTGCCAGTCGTATGTCCATCTTACCGAATGTACCAATTTATCGATCGCAGAGCCATAAGAGCTAGATAATTGAAATGTTGAAATTGATAATTGAATAATTGAAAAACGATATCGAAATCACAAGAGTTACAAGAGCTAGAAACTCCGTATTTTGTACATGATTTCTTTATAGTACACACAGATCCAGAGTACATTCTGAATACCTCCTCAGCTGATGAACAACTTTTGGAGGTACATATAATCTTGGGCTTTAGTATTTGGACACATTTTGAAACAATTAACACCGAAGATAATCACGAAAGGCGAAGCGCAGCCGCAGCTTAAGATAGCTAGGCGCAGGGTTTAATGAATCTCCAAGTCGGGAACTCCCGGCTAGAGCACTCTTACTTGTTTTCTAGATTATCTCAGATTATCTTGAGTATCTGTTAGTCAAGCACTTTTAACATGAGCACTACGTTAGCTGGCTCCGTTTGTTATGCCCTGCCCATTGAAAATGGCCATAAGGGGTATATTGGTTTGTTGCAACAGTATGTAATCTGCAGAAGGATGCTTCGCCAACTCCATATATTGTATATATTCTTTCGTGGTCATATCTCGAAGCTCATAAGAGCTAGAAACGAAATTTGATATGTATGTTCTCGTATAGTAAGAACAGATCAGGAATATTTTAGTTTTTGGACAACTCTGCGGTGAGAAGTTTGTGCTATTTAGAAAGAAGTTTAAATGGGTTTTACGGCAGCTCGTCTTTTTTGTACAGGGCATCTTCTAATCGTACATTCCCGACTAGAGCACTCTTAGTTGTTTCTGTTCTAGTTGTTGTCCTGGGCTATTGATGAGCTGTTGTTCTTTCATTTCCATTGTTGTGGCATAGCCCAACAAACGAGACTTGAGACCAGTTCCACACTTTACCACATGCCTATGTTTGTGTACATTTGAATGTTTGCTTTGTCCCACAAAACAATCCCCCCGCCCCGGCCACCGTTGAGGAATGGCAGGCACTTTGATACGACTCTTTTGGGCATAGAAGACAGCGTCGAGTTAATTTAATTCTGTGTTCTTGCTTAATTGAGTGGCTGGTCAAGCCATATATAAGAGGAAATAAAATTGAAATGTAGCAGAAAAATGGAAGATTGGGAATTAGTTGGACTGAGGATCAGGCAACGGTGCAAATATACAGCTTAACTGGCCTCTTGTTGGGCATTTGGCTTATAGCACCATTTTCTAGTTAGAAATGGATAATCTTATTTGGCGACCATTTCAATTAGCATGCCAACTAAAATGTGAACTTGGTTTAGTTTTCTATGTAGGTTATTTGGTTGCACTTTGGAACAAAACTTAAACTTAATTAAGGCTTCATTTTGTTAAACTTAGGCAGGCTTAGAGTCCGCGTCGGGAATGTACACATGCCCAATAGCCCATGGCGGTGCGTGTGGGTGTATTCTAGTTTATTTTATTAAAGAGCGAAGTCCTCGTTTCTGGCTATTACTGCTGGAGGTTTTCAATACTGTTCTGAAACCTCCTCCGGCTTGTTAAGCCAGCCGTTAACTGAAACTGAAACTTTTGGCTAATTACTTTCCATTACTCTCACTTAGCTGTTTTTCTTATTCAACTTTGATTTAATGACCGCAGCTTAGAAGTCATCATGTCTTCCAACCCAATTTGAAATGTCATTTGGCTTAATTGAGACTGACATTCAATTAAGTACACATATATTTCAAATTATACAATTTCACACACACACCATCACATTCCACTGACAAGTATGTATAAATAAACAAAATGGCGATATGAAACAATGCAATTGTATCCTGTGCTCGTGGCGCAAGTTTAGTTATAAATGACCACAATAAATATCAACTCAGTCATCGGGCAACAATAATGCCAGCAACAATAAAAAGTACAACAAAGTACTTACGCACAAGCGCCTTTCCTGAAATGGCCTCAAAACAAAAAGCAACCGGAAACAGTTGTACGGCGTGCAATGAAAATGAAAAGCGAACGAAAAGCAACGAGCAAAATGAAGAAGAAGTGAAAAATATTCAATGCAAGCGTGACGTGTCGTAAGTTTCATACAAAGTGAAAATTAAATTTTCGCATGTCAGCGTTAAATTAATTTCATATTTTCGCTCATTGCGTAACGAGAAAAGCTTCCAATTAAAAAAATTATGATGTTGAAAAAAAAAAAAGGGCAGACTGAAACAATCATCTACAGGTGCAACTTCCATAAACTCTTTTCAGCCGATACTTTTCGCCATTTTATAATGAATCATATCGCAAAGAGAAATGCTTGATAAGCTGGATGGGATTACCTGTGGGGATTGAAAGCTTTTTTGGAGTAAGTCAAATCAATATTGCCACGCTTCTTTAAATAGAGTAAAAAAGCGAGCTTACTTTAGATACACATTTCATTTTGCGTGTCAGCGTATAAAAAATGTGATTATACATTAAAATGTGTTGGGGCGAATCATAAAACCAAAGAAATGATAATCACAATAAAAACGTAAATGTGCTAATTTCCCTGTTTTAATTTAGTAATTAATGAGATCTTTTGTTCACTTGTTGTCGCTTCTATCTATTTTTTATTAACTGACTTGACTTGAATTCTGGCAATTACCGTAAAATATATAGAAAATATATACTCTTGAACAAATTGCTGTTAGAGTTTAGAGATTTTGTATAGCCAAACAGTATGCAGCATTTTTATTAAAACTTGGTGATATTGCGCTGAATGCGATATGTGGAACTCAAGGCTTTGTTCGTTAATATGCCGCCCAAAGGCTTCAAATGCAATTTTCTCGCGCAATTCCGTAAACATTGCGAAATATGAGAGCCGGCCAGCAAATTGCATTTTGGCATGCTTGTCGCGCATTTACCTCACTTGATCCTTGGCCTTTTGCTGCCGCATTCCACAGAACCGACTTAAGACACTTTGTTCTTATGTGGCCCTACTGGTGTCATTGTCGTAATAGGTTTCAATTTCAATTGTCCTTAGCACGCCAGCAACAAAAGGACAACAGCAAAAGCGCAAAGGAAGAGCCGGCAGCAAATGGCACTTGCTCCAGCAGCAGCAGCAGCAGCAGCCATA